CCATCGAAAAGGGTGAGTGGGCTCTCGGAAATTGTGGATAATGGGGATGAGAAGGGGTATATGTAGTAGGCAGACTATACTAAGTAGGGCATAATTACAGCGTAGTGTGAATGAGTGAGCATTGTTGTTGGATGGGAGGAGAATGATTGATAAAATACAGGGTCGCACTTACGTTTACGCACTTCTCTACACGTGTGGACAGAGTAAAAGAGCTACATCGTCCTGGCGGCCTTATACTATAGGAGGGTCGGTTGCGGATAATTTTTTTCTACCGATGTTTGCGTCTAAGCTCGTAATTATGTGCGAATTCACATACAAAACTACACATTACCTGACTTACTTTACCAGTAGTATTGTGAAATGACCCTAAGCCTGTCATATTCAAAGGTTAATGATTAGTGTTTTCCTTGCTAACGTTTATGCAACAGCGCCTTCTAGTCAGTGTGACGTTTTTGTGGACGGTTGGGGGGAGGGGTCCCTGCCTTCCTGAGTTCCATTTTCTGTGGCAGCAATTATATCGTACACAAATATACCAAAGTATATTACGGTAAGATGTTGCAAGACTGGCATGGTTCACATCAACGAGCTTGCGGCTGACTACTAAATCAACGTAGCGAAGGTGGTCTGGAAAGCCCTTGTATTCCCAGCAGACGTCTTGCTTTTACCCCGAGGCATCCCTTTCGTGATTAGGTCTGGCAGTAAAGGAGTAATAGAGGAATTAGGGCAGCTTACAGAGTCAATGGTTCTCTCGTTGCAGATGACGCCCATACCGACGAAGACTCCGACAAGTCAGATGGCGAAACCGTTGGTGACACAACCCATCTCCCACGCCGAGTCCTGGGGACATCAGCGGAAGTGACGGGGGAGCAGTCTCCAGCTCCTCGCGATGGGACACACGAAAAGGGATCAGGTGACGTCGCTGCTTCTGCAACACAAGAGCCGGATCAATGTACCTCTGTCAAAGGGCCTAAAAGGAAGAAGGTCAGGAACTGGAGGCACCGTCCACCAACATTTCGGGTTGAACTGTCTGCTGGCGACCCTAACGATGCTTCAGAAGTCGGTGACACATCTCCAAGTGAGCTGTTCCAAAAGATGTTCACGAGAGAGTTGCTGGAAAATATCCTGGAGCAGAGCAACTTGTACGCGACGCAACACGGAAGACGACTGAACATGACGATGGAGGAACTGCTGGGAATCATCGGTGTGATGATGATGACGGGCTATAGAACGACGCACAACAAGAAACATCTGTGGTCTGCAAAGGACGATGTGTCATCTGTGTGGGCACAGGAGCTCATGCCTAGGAACAGGTTTCTTGAACTTCTCCAGAATCTGCACCTGGCGGACAACAGCAACATCAGCAAGGACAGATACTACAAGGTACGTCCGTACTTCCAGCACTTGAACGCCGGATTCAAGACGGCAGCTCTCACCAGAAACCTGAGCGTTGACGAGACAATGGTACCGTACTATGGACGGCACAGCACCAAGCAGTTCATAAGGGGCAAACCTGTAAGATACGGGTACAAACTGTGGTGTCTGGCAGCCTCCACCGGATATCTCTATCATGCGGAACCGTACTGTGGGGCCGACACCCAACTGGCTGACACGGGCCTGGGGAAGGGAGCTGACGTGGTGCTGGGCCTGCTGAACAAGTGCGCCGTCCCACCAGGCCATGCTATATTCTTCGACAACCTGTTCACATCACTCGAGCTCTTGGACGTGCTGTCGGACATGGGTCTTGGCGGGTGTGGAACCGTCCGCGAAAACAGGCTTGGTGGCGCTCCATTTTCAGACAAGAAGGTGCTGGAGAAGAAGCAGCGTGGGACAATGGAGTGGCTGTCTGACGGTGACAACCTGGTTGTGCGGTGGAACGACAATCGCGTCGTGACGGTGGCGACGAACTGTGAGCCGCTGGAGCCGCTCGTTACCGCCAGCCGGTATGTGAAGAAGCAAGGTGGCAGGATCGCTGTACAGATGCCCCGTCCTCTTCATGCATACAACACCCACATGGGCGGTGTGGATCTGTTTGATCAGTGTGTTGCTCTCTACCGCAGTACCATACGCAGCAAGAAGTGGTGGTGGCCGCTCTTCCAGTGGGGAGTTGACGCTGCCCGGACAAACACCTGGCTCCTGTCTCAACGGCATGCCAAGGGACCGCAACTTCCCTTCCTGCGGGAGCTCACGTACGTCCTCATCAAGAAGAACACGGTGCCGCGTCCTCCAGCAAGCTTCTCTGGCCGCCACCAAGCACCAGAAGACCTCCGCTACGACGGTCTACATCACTGGCCAGCAGAGCTCAAAACCAGGTTCCACCGTTGCAAGGTGTGCAACAGCCGAACCAACATGTCCTGCGAGAAGTGCGCCGTTCCACTACACCCAAAGTGCATGAAGGTGTACCACACTCCATGAGCACACGGAAGATCAAGAGGGGCATCAGCACCAGTTGGATTCCTACGTATGGCTGATGATCTGAACAAGCCCAAAAATGCGCAGTGGGCGTGACCTTGTCGACATCAAAGAAAGCAGGTCAAATATCTTTTACCTTGTGTTGGATTTTGTGTGTGGTAATAACGCAAAATACAGGTGCTCAACTACAGATGCTGACATTTTAAGTCTTCGCAGAAAGATTGGACGTTATTATAAACAAAAGTAAGAAAAAGTGGTTAAAATTCCATTTCATGGTGTTTATTGACCCGTTGGTCACAAATGTTGCCACCCCCAAAAACAGGTAAAAAATATCTCCAATTTTTTCCAAAAAATCACAGGCAATCAGTGACTCCTGATAAGTATATACAGCAAAAATGAAACAATTTACACCACTTTAAGGACCTTGGGCACTAATGGGTTAAGGAGCTAACGGCAAAGGTGAACAAGCTGCTGACGTGGGGGGCCGCGTTCACAGTGTTTGCGCAGTCGTTCAACCGCCCAGCCACGGCCGGCTACCTTTTTGTTAGTTAGTTAAGATGTGTGCCGTGATCCTGAAGACCGATGTGTCGCCGCCCCCAAGGCAGTGGGCGGCGATGACCGGCTGCGTTTAGGAGTGCACGGGGAGGGACATGAGGCAGCACTTTAGGGACTTTCTGTCTCTTTTTGTGTTTGTGTTTCTGCCGGGTAGTTTTGCAAAGAAATGGCGTTAACGCTTTTTCATGCGTGTAGGCCAAGTTCATGTCTGGAAGGGCATGAGCGTCGTGCTGTGTTCATCACCCTTGTTCATATGATCAATGATGTAATAGGTAGTCGTGGTTTATCTGCATGCTATGCATTGTTTTAATAAACCTTATGTTTTAATGTTATGACTCTCATCTCATGGGTGAGGCTGACCGCCAGGGGATGAGTCGACAGAGTGGAAAAACCGGCGGCAGAGCGATCTAATAGGTGTGTTCACTTGACCATCATGTTATGAGTTACATTTAACTCGCGTATCAATCGTTGCATGGCATGAGTTACTATAGCAATGCTTGAATTCGTCACAAACGGTAAACTCATGTGGTATGAGTGAGGGAACGAGAGTTAACCCGCAACTCATTGGTGATGTGACCGCTACAGGGCTAGTAACATTTACTAGCGCCTCATGTAGTCAAACGTGTGGTGTCTTCATTAACGGTGTAATATGAGTAAGCCTATACTCGCATATCATGAGTAATCAAAATGAGTTACCAAGAGTACATGAGTTTTTCACAATCGGTTAACTCATAATACACGAGTGAAGAGACATGAGTTAACGCACAATTGAGAGGTGGAATGACCGGTGCAGGCCTAGTTACATTACCGGCGCCTCGAGCAGTCAAATAGGTTGTTTAAAATTACCGCCGGTTCATGAGTTTACTCACCACCCATGGGTAATTTTGTTTTCAGTGCTCCCTGGCACCGAATGCCTTGCAAAGTTGCGATACATTGGGATCGTAAAGACGTTCGCTTGTGACACCTTAGACCAGTGACTTGACCTTGCCTGAATATGAAGTTGATGTCGCTAGATTTGCTTTGAATCAGAGGTCAGGTACATACTTTAATTTTCAGCTTTCTTTCACCAGACGGTTCCAAGCAATCACGAAAAAACCAGGGGGTAGCACCAACTCCACCCACCAAACCAACAAGGCATTCTAGCAATGTGTTTACAATAGACCCCCCCCCCTATTTACCTAGAGTCTTCAGGCACAACTTAAACCAAGGCGAGATGTCTTGTGGCCCACCTAGTCTATTAATTTGTTTCTAAGTACTTACGACATGGGCACGACTACTGGGGCGTCGTATGTGACCCCTAGCCGGTCACGTTATGAAATAGGGTGTCGTGTGTTCGAGCCCTTTTCCTTTATCCTCCCCGTGCCTATACTAGTTTCCTTTCGAACTTTTAAAGTATCCTCTGTCTGGTAGCCCGTCCTGGATCCTTCACATTGCGCTGTATAAACCGAGTTGATTTCGCCCCCGTCTCGTCCTCGTGGTTGAGTTCCGCCCTGACTGCCGCCGTGATTGTGTCGCCGCCACGTGTTGTTGAGAGTCGCCGCCGCCGAAGAGATAATATAAAGTAAAATCAATCAATTCTTTCTCGATAACGAACCGGCTTTTATTGCTAATTCATCACATAGGGCCTTGCCGGGCGAGGGTTAGGCTGTTTAATGATATATGTATAAATGGGTAGGGCATAAATGTTTGAATAACAAACTGGTCTGGAAACAATTTTCTACGAAGGTACCACCATTTCAATGTCTTATCCAAATCATATCGCCATAAATTTCGACCTACCCACAATTCACAAAAGTATTCATGCGTTATTCGGGCGGCAATAAGGCAAATTGCAAGCTCGCCACAGAGCACAAATTCTGAAAAATATAGGTATAGTTCATATTAAAAATAGTTACTCATTAGACGTTCAAGAATCTTCCTCCTAAATATTGTAGCTCTAGTTTCAAAAACATGGATGTTTTGAATGTCGATAGGTTTCGCAATGCTACACCGGCCGGATCGCCTGCACTGTGCGCTGGCGTCGTGCGACAGCTCACCGTATTAGGGCGGCCAGGTAGCCCGACCAGTCGCTGGGGAACAGCACCAGAAAGAAGCCGCACACGACCAGTGTGATGCCGGCCAGCCGCATGTCTCGAAACTCCGCCCCGTTCCAGGCGGTGTCCACCGCTGGGGGAAAGGTACGTCATGTCACCGACCTGTTACTTGCCACACAAACGGCTCCGCACCGGAAACACGCATTTCACATTATTACAAGTAAGTAACCTCACCCAAGAAACAAAAATTGAATGCTCGTCATAGCTACACCGACTGTATGATCGCCTTGAAACTTTAAGCGGCTGGTAACAGTAGCAGTAATATGCACACATCGGGTTACAACTCAACGACTAGCAGAATGTATAAAATGTTTATCTCGGAGTTTTGATATCGGTGACTTACGGTCAGGTCAATTTTGCGCCCTCTCTATTACGAGTCAATGGGAGAAAATCGAAAGGCGACTCTTTTGGACGAACGTCATTCCAAACACTCAGACATCGGGTTACAGGTAAAATAGACACGTTAAATCAAAAAATTATAACCATGACCCCTCTGTTTCCCTGGGGTCATATCAGGTCATGAAAGGCCCGAACAGTTTTTTACAATAACTTTTTATGAAGACATGCTAGAGCAATGAAAACACATTTGATTTGTTCAGGTCGAGAATACGGATCTACTGATTGCAAAATGACCTTTTCCGATCAGGTCATTTTCTCAGGGCCTCCATTAACCCGCGCCCTGCTGGGGGTCCTGGATTTCCACGCCCTGCTGGGGGGGGGGGGTGTTTGAACACCCCCCCTCTAACTCGGCTCCTGGGCCACGTAGCGATACGCGGAAGGCGGCGTTCGAAAGAGCGTCAAAAATAATGACGAAATCACTTCGGTCAATTTTTTGGTCAGGGCAAAGGTCAGGTCACCAGAGGTCATTGAAGGCAAAATTTCGCCGATTTCCAGGTCGAATGTCGAAAATTTCCAAGAAGCCAACGCATAACTCGGGAACCAATAGAGCTACAGCGCCGCGGAAAAGCGCATTCGATAGCCCTATTAACGCCCTTTCTGAGTAATTCTCTCAGATTTGACCTAACGTCAACGGTTTTGCCTGCAGGGGGCAAAAACTGCAAAAATAGCCGATTTTTTCGAAAACAGTTTTTCTGCAATAACTTTTGACCCAAGCCTTGTACGAGCTTACTTTTACCGCCATCGTGTTCCTCTCGTCAAGACGCATCGAATGAACTATAACTTGACCTTGAAGGGTCAACTTGAAAATTTGACCTCAGGTCAAGGTCATGACCTGACCGGAAAGGGTCATGTTGCATATCAGTCGATCCGTATCGTCGAGCTGAACACATCTAAGGCGTTTTCATCGCTCTAGAATGCCTCTATCAAAAGTTATTTGCGAAAAACTGTTAGATACCATTCGTGACCTGAGATGACCTCAGGGCATAAACAAGGGTCACGGACACCATTTTCAAGTTCAGTGTGTCTAAAACACTTGTAATTCGGTGTTTGGGAGTGTTTATAATGTCTTTCATCCAAAAGAGGCTCATTTCAATTTTCTCCCATTGACTTATAATGGGGAGGTCGCAAAATTGACCTGACCTTAGGTCATCGATATCAAAATTCTGAGATGAACATTTTGTACATGCTATTGCCCTTAGCAATCGCTGAAAGTTTCAAAGCGATCGGTCACTCGGTGTAGCTATGACAGACATTGAAAGTTTTTATGAGGTGAGGTCACTTCAAGTGACCTGGTGACCTGACCTTGAATGACCTTGGTCTGAAATTCTCACAACATGTGTAGAATTGATGTATGATAAGGTGTACCAAAAACGGCGGCGCTCCGCGCCGCTGTTTTTGAGATATTCGCGAAAAACCACAAGGGGGGGGGGGTGTTCAAACACCCCCCCCCCCCAGCAGGGCGCGGGTTAACATGTTAACTGGGGGGCCGCGGCCCCTCCAGTAATGCTGCAGCCCCCCCCCCCCCCCAAGTGGAACTGAAATCGCGTCACTGGGGGGGGGGGGGGGGCCACGCAGTTAAACCAATCATGTAGAATAATGAGGAAATTTCACTAAAAGTTTACCAAACAAACAATCCAGACTATCTCCACGATCACCACGGTGCTAATTTTAGTTTTGTTACTGTTGTTTTTTATGTGCAAGGAACATTTCAGATCCGCCTAAGATAAGCCGCGGAATGAGGTCAGACATTGCAGATTTTATGATCGAACACCGACTGAAGCCCGAAAGGGGCAAGGTCTTAACCCTATTCCTGGCGGTCTCCGCCGGGACAAGAAACTGGCGGGGGGGCCGATTCGGCCCCCCTTCAGATCTCAAAAACTACACATCGCAGCGACAAACGGCAAACGGCGTTTGATAGGTCGTTTAAAGATCTACAACTTTTACATAAAACATTTTCAGGTCAGGTCAATATTGAGGTCACCAGAGGTCATCAACGATAAAATGTTTTGGAATTAGTTACCTATATAACTTTTAAACTAAGAAACATAGAGACATAAAACCGATACATTTTTTGTTGCTCTCGCCGAGGCGATGCGAAATAAGTATGTGATGACCTTCACAGGTCAATTTGAAATTTGACCTAAGGTCAAGGTCAGGTCATTCATCAATGAGGTTGTGGGGTATTGTCATGCTGCATGTGCATACCAAACGACGCGCCTTGACCAGGCGAGCAGTTTGGTACCACTTACAAGTCTTTAGCACCACCATGTCGTGATTTATTGACAGAAAAAAACGATTTATGACGTCACATGACCTCAGATGACCTTTTGCGGTGCCCCTGTCAATTAGCGGCACCAGGATCATCACCGATGAGATAATCTTCCATAATACTGAAAGAATTGGGTGGTTTTGACTCGTTTACACGAAGCAGGAGGCGTTTCAATATTTTCCCATAGGCTTGCAATGTAAAGGTCACGAGTCTGGCCTGACCTCAGGTCACAGATATGAAAATTCAGAGATATACAAATTGCACATACTGGTACCCTAACTAAAACCTGAAGAGAAGAAATTGATCGGTCAAAACTCTAGCTCTGGCGTGATTGCAAACTTTTCTGAGGTGGGGTCACCAAACCACCTCTGGTGACCTGACCTGACCTGACCCGGCAACTTTTTTTTTGTCAAAATGTGTGCAATGAATGTTTAGAAAAAGTCACCGAGTATGAGCTTTCAGTCTTGCGGCGTTTGGCAATGGCACAAGAAAAACCTGAAGGGATGGCCTTAAAGGCCCCCCCCCCCCCCCCGCCAGGAATAGGGTTAAGAGCTCCTTTGAGAAGGAAGCGTCCCGGCGGGTCGCTTTCTCATTCAGTCGAACGTTCACGGTTCAACACGGATAAGTGCTATTTTATTCGGAAGACGGGTTTATTCTTGAAAAGGACATTTTGCTATACGGCCAAATAAAAATGTGGCGGAGCTTTGCAGGGTGTCCGAAAAGTTCTGGCGCTTTTCAACATTTTCTCAAACAAATGCCATTGGTTCATAGATACTCATCAATGGATCAAAACAATAACCAGGGACACCAGGCCACATGCTTCCGCTACGTGCTCATTAACCCGAGAGTTGCTGGGGGGGGGGGGGGGGGGGGCGTTAAACGCCCCCACTTTTTTCGCCGGGCCATAGCATAAAAACGGCTTTGGGTACCTGTAGAGAATTGATTGAAGTTTATTGTGACAAAGTTAAAAAAATCGGTCATAAAATTTTTGAGATATCCAGGTTTTAGTGACGTCATGATTTCTGACTTTTCGACCAAAAACGGCATATGTTCAAAAAATCATATAAAATCACAGAATGGACATACAGACATGCGGTAAACGCCATTAGACTGCTAATACCATGAACAATCAAATGGCTATCTTCGATTATTGATTATCGTTCCGCATTTTCCAAAATCTTGAACTGAATCTTGGCAATTTCTCGTGACTACTTCACGACCATGATACATGAATTTCTTAAATTGAACTTTATGAGCCAAACACGTACACATATGATAAAATGAATGTCACCATCGTGTTCTACGCCCCAAATTACCCATAAAACATATGTCACAGGCTGCGAATATCAGTTTTGATTTTCGGGGATATGTGCCTACCCGGTTGACCTGACCTTGACCCTGACCTACGCTTGAGTGACCCCTACATGGAGCTGACACTCTTGTAGGCCTTATATGATGGATTGTGCACCGTTTTGACAGAGTTTATGACGAGAGGCGCCCATTGCGAAGTCCTGAAGTCCATGCTACTGAAAGCCCGATTTCAGGTGTTTGACCTGACCTTGACCCGACCTGTGACCTCAAAATTCAACTTTAAAGTACTCATCTGAAGCGTCTCGTCGCGTTCTTTCGTTTGCCGCCACGTCGTGCGTTTCGCTGCGCCTATTGGTTCTCGAGTTATCGGCTGGGGGTGTTTAACGCACGCCCCTCCCCCCCCAGCAAACGGTGGGTGGCGAAATACCCCAGCAACTGCCGGGTTAAATGTAACCATCGTCGGCGCCGACGACGGCCTCGACGTAGGGGAAGAAGCTTGGACGCACGCGGCAGTCCAAGCCGCCATATTTGAATTTATATTTTAATAGAATCTTGCCGATATTTTGGGTGAAGTCAATTTATATGGATAGCTTGGTGACAGTTTAGCTTTACGAATAATAATTTATTATGGATGTGCGTATATTCAGCTTGGAATTGCAATTAAAGTTCCGCACCGCATAGATTCGAACTCGGGACCTTCGGAATACTGCGCGGGCACGCTAACCACTACACTACCGCGACCGCGCGGCGGCCGGCGGCAGGGAGGCTGCGGAGACATGGGGGGACATTTTACGTTTTTGTGAAAAAAGCAAAAGATTTAGCGAAAAACACGTAATAGATAACTTGCAGAAAATTGTCTGCTCTTTCAGATAAGATACTTAGGTTTGATATATCTTGTGCAGACTTCATACTACAGTGCTTCGAAAATCGCTCATTTACATGGGGATTGAACGGGGCTTCGAGACTTGACTCCAAATGACGTCACGAGCTGACGTCACGAAAAGGTAGAATCTCCGGACGACCCTACCTGGTATATAGGGCCTTGGGATTGCGATGCCACGCTTTGATGGGCAGGGATCATTGAGACGGTTTCTCGATGATTTTGGGACGTACGGGAGGCTCAGGGGATGGTCTGATGAGCAGATGTTAAACGTTTTGCCACTGTCGCTTGCTGGTATTGCCCGCGACGCTTTCGATAGCCTGCCCGCCGACCAGACTGTGTCGTTTCAGAGAGCCGCTGCAGGCTTGAAAGATGTCTTCGCCACAAAGACTGTGACTGAGCAGCACCTGACCTTGTGTGACCTGAAGTTTAGGCCTGACGAGTGCCTCGGCTCGTTCGTGATCAGGTTTCGTAAGCTGCTGTCTCTTGCGTTTTCCACGCTCACTGACGTTGGTCCCCTGATGTTCAGCCACTTCCTGGCAACTTTGCCAGCTGAACTGCATGCTGCTGTGATCGCTGACGGGATCTCGTCCTTTGATGGTGCTGTGAGTAAGGTGCGCAATTTGATTACTTCACAGACGTACCTGACACGGGCCCGTCCCAGTGTCGTCCACCGGCTCGACACGGACGGTGAGCTGGCTCGGTTGGCCAGCCGGGTGGCCGACTTGGAGGCCGCGGTTCGATCTGCTGCTCCTCCGAACCGTCGAGAGGGCGATGGCCCGCGGGTATGTTTCTGTTGTGGTGGACGCGGACACACCCGTGACCGCTGCAGATTGCGGAACCGAACTTGCTTTAGATGTCAGACGGTTGGTCGCATTGCAGTGATGTGTCCTCAGTCACCTCAGTCGCAGGGAAACACGACTGGGTCCGGCCGTCGGGAGCCGAGCGGCCCGCCCCCCGGCGACCGGACCGCCCCGACTCTGACACCACCAGGTCACACGCACATGTAATTCCCTTGAGCGATGACACGCGTCTATCGGCCCGACTGGCCGGCGTCGACTGCCAATGTCTCTTGGACACGGGCAGCTCGATCAGTTTGCTGCATAAGTCTGTGTTTGATGCCATGCCCAACCTTACTCTGAAGAAGACCTCCGTTCAGGCTCGTACTGCATCTCTTTCCGAGCTTCCGTTGCTTGGCCGTACCCAGCCCCCTCCAAAGTCATATGGCAGCATGGGCGTGACTTTTCCTACTAGCCCATAGGGTTGCGTGTTAAAATGCGACTTTTCGCGCTTGATTTTCAAGGTTTCGTAGTGTGGGCATCCACATACAAAGTATGTCAAAAGATAGCTACAACATTTTTATTTCCATTTTTGGGACGAAAAGTTCAAGCCCATCCAACCGTTTTCGAGATATTCGTCTATATATGACCCCATGTTTTTGATACATCGGGAGGTCCTGTGTTCGAATCTCGGACAGATCAAAACTTTTATCGTTAATGTGCGGCAAACCATTGCTGCAAAGTAAAGTAGGGGTGAGCGCGCTGGTGATGGAGGGTTGTAAGTTGGCATACCTGACCTTTGATTCAAGCCGGATTTTGTGGCACCAACCTCATTTTCAGGTCAGGTCAGGTCACTGACCTATGACGTCATAAGTGAACCTCTGCACGGTCTAAAAAACGTCGTAACATAGCAACTCCATCAATTCAAGGAGATCTATCACAGGTAGATGAAACTTACAGAACTTATCAAACTCCCTTATTCTCAAAAGTCGTTAACTTCGGATTTCTCCTAAGGGTCACCTAACGTCAGGTCGGTCAGGTGATCTGGCCATTATAAGCCGATGGGGGGGGGGGGGGATATAGAGACAGCTGGGGCGTTCCACGACAAATCGACAAATAAAAAATTAAATTTGCACCCTCATATTTTATTCTTCGTTGAAAACTGGTGTAAGGGGTTGTGATGGGCGGGGAAGCCAGCTGTGGCAAGGATTTTTTTCTTCGAACAACGGTTTCCGAGATATAGCCTCGGGCAATTCCTGGAGTTCGCGCTGCAGCCCTATGTTTGGCGGCCTATAACTCAGAAACTATTTGTTTTTTACGATAAAACCTTTATATGGTTCAACTCACAATCAACCAACAAACATTTTGGCTATCTCGGATTTTCAATTTTTGAAAATTTTGATCACGTGACCTTTTGTCCTATTTTTCGAAGAGTGACCTTGATATTTTCCCCACTGAAAGTTGCAATTTTGTCTGATGACGATTAAAGCCTTATCAATTTTCATTCATATACGATAATAAAAAAGGTGGTTATCGCCCGGCGTTGACCTCAGGTCAGGTCATTTTTATGACCTGTCCATTATTACGAGCGGGAGCGACAGCGAGATCTCGAGAATAAAGCAAGATAGCGACAAGCGGTAAATGGTAAAGGGTACACACGGATAAGGTCTATAATTTTTACTGAGGTCATTTTCAGGTCAGATCAAAGATGACGTCACAGGAGCTAAAAGGAAGTCAAAATAGCGGCACTATACATATACTGGGTGTTTCATAAAAAATGTCCTGGTTTTGATTGCATTTTGGGGTGCCCTATTAATTGCAATCACGTGTTTTTTTTCACTGCAATCGAAAGCACGTGCACGGGAAATTTTCCTCACGCACCTTAGCTCACTTCTCACAGAAAAAACAAAACTGGTTCAGTTTTACTGGTCGTCACGTTCTATCATTCTAACACAGCGACAGTTTAGGGCTCACTTCAAAACCCGATTCACACCGTGCCCGAAAACAATCCTGCGTTTGCAAGAAAAGTTCCTAAGAGATGGGTCTATCCTCAATTGCTACAAAGGGAAAAGTGGACGGCCAACGACACAAAGGACCCCCGAAAACATCGCCAAGGTGAAGTCCGTAGTCAATGGGGACCCCAAGAAGTCCATCAGGAAAATCGCCCAAGAAGTTGGCACAAGCCACTCAACGGTGCGGAGAATAATGAGAAAGGACCTCGAACTGTTCCCATATAAAGTGACAGTGCATCACAAGCTGTCGGAGAACGACAAACATCAGAGAGTGGCCTTCGTAAAGTGGCTCAAGGACCAGACTGCCGCTAATCCTGGCTTCTTGGATGGGGTCTGGTTTAGCGATGAGGCCCACTTCCACCTTACTGGACAGGTGAACACCCAGAACTGCCGTATATGGGCCTCGGCACCACCCGAAACGTTGCTGGAAGTCCCACTGCACAGCCCGAGAGTGACTGTGTGGTGCGCAATGAGCTCCACCGGAATAATCGGGCCATTCTTCTTCGAAGACGGCAACGGGTGCACTCAAACGGTGAACAAGGAACGCTATGTCCGCATCCTGGAACGCTTCTGGGCCACAGTGCAAGAAGGCTCGACTTCAGGTGGTAACGATATCTGGTTCCAACAGGACGGGGCCACCCCGCACACCTCGAAGATGGCCCTCCAGTGGCTCCAGGAGCGTCTCGGAGAGAGGATCATCAGCCGCGGAACGGACACTCCCTGGCCCCCTCACTCCCCTGACCTGACACCCCTCGACTTTTACCTGTGGGGTTTTCTTAAGTCCAGAGTGTACAGCGGGAGCCCGGGGAGTCTCGGAGAGCTCAAGCGGGCGATCAGACGCCAGGTGCGTGCGATCACGCCCGCCACATGCGCCCGAGTTATCGGGCACGTGGCGAAACGGGCCGACGTATGTCTGCTCCGAAAAGGAGGACATCTCGAGAACGTGCTGTGAGCGGCGCTGAACGCATGATTCATGTTCGTGATATGTATGTAATAAATCTCCATTCCTTGTGGAATCGTTTGAACCATTGTGGCTGGATATGTGACTATTAGATTTTTCGTTATAAGCAAAACAAATCAGGACATTTTTTATGAAACACCCTGTATATGAAGTTTTTTTCGAATAACTTTCAAGGTAGCCCAGCTAGGAACAAACTAATAGCACCATCGTGATCCTCTCGTCGATCCGCATCGAAACATATGTATGTTGACCTCGAAAGGTCGAAAGGTCAAAAGTTGACCGTAGATCACGTGACCTAAGGTCAACTTTTGACCTTTCGACCTTTCGAGGTCAACATATATATGTTTCGATGCGGATCGACGAGAGGATCACGATGGTGCTATTAGTTTGTTCCTAGCTGGGATAACTTGAAAGTTATTCGAGAAAAACTTCATATATATGTATAGTGCCGCTATTTTGACTTCCTTTTAGCTCCTGTGACGTCATCTTTGACCTGACCTGAAAATGACCTCAGTAAAAATTATAGACCTTATCCGTGTGTACCCTTTACCGTTTACCGTTTGTCGCTATCTTGCTTTATTCTCGAGATCTCGCTGTCGCTCCCGCTCGTAATAATGGACAGGTCATAAAAATGACCTGACCTGAGGTCAACGCAGGGCGATAACCACTTTTTTTATTATCGCATATGAACGACAATTGATAAGGCTTTAATCGTCATCAGACAAAATTGCAACTTTCAGTGGGGAAAATATCAAGGTCACTCTTCGAAAAATAGGACAAAAGGTCACGTGATCAAAATTTTCAAAAACTGAAAATCCGAGATAGCCAAAATGTTTGTTGGTTGATTGTGAGTTGAACCATATAAAGTTTTTATCGTAAAAAACCAATAGTTTTTTAGTTATAGGCCGCCAAACATAGGGCTGCAGCGCGACCTCCAGGAATTGCCCGAGGCTATATCTCGGAAACCGTTGTTCGAAGAAAAAAATCCTTGCCACAGCTGGCTTCCCCGCCCATCACAACCCATTAGACCAATTTTAAGCAAAAAATAAAATATGAGGGTGCAGGGCACTTGTCGATTTGTCGTGGAACGCCCCAGCTATTTTGGCGCTGACAGTGATCTTAGACGGAAAAGACACAAATAGACTCAGAAAGACCTGCCGAATTGAATAACGTGCAACTTGACCTCATCATGAGGTAATGACCTGACCTGACCTTGGACGGAGGTCAACATCCTAAATTGACCTCACCCATACAAAAAGCATATCATTCGACGTGGCTGAGCATCACGAACACGATGGTGTCAAAATTGCAGCTCTGATACCATTTTAGGCGACTACCGAACAATCCACTTCCTGGTATGCCAATGCTTTTATTATCTAAAGACGATGAACACTGAACATTCTCATATATGCAAACATGCCACTTTGGGTTACAGAGTAAGTGGTTCCCAATCGTACTTACTACACGTTCCACACATCACACTATCGCTCGTAATTGCAATGCAAATAAGCTTTGGCTCGTTGGAAATAAACTTTGGCATTGGAAGATGTCACGGTATTACACTTAACATTGACCACAATTAGATATCAGGTACCTATCAATATCAGTAACATTCAGCTCATCCTCAACACATAACAATCAGACGGAGAACACTACGGTAAACCTCAAAGAGGTTTTGGCCATGGTAGGCAATGAGGCATAGCTGCGAGCAGGATCTTCGATCTGAGAAAACATGAAGATGAAATTACATGCATCACACTTGCAATAAAAACAAACTCAAGTGATACTTATCTTTGAAAAATCAGGATAAAAGAACATGAACCTATTTGAAAACATAACAAGCATTATCAGAGGAATAGTTAATGCATGGTTATTTAACCCTCGCATGTGTGCGGTGTTTGCCAGCTTCTAATGTGTAGGGGGGGGGGGGGTCGGTTGGACCCCCCCCTTGCCGTTTGGCCCCTGATCGAGCTAGAGCTTCGCGGAAAAAACGAGCGTGTTGCCCGTGACGAGAGGAAGCCGATGATACCCAATTTTAAGGTCCTAGGTCATTGATTGACCTTCCAGGTCAGGTCAATGACCCAAAGTCGGGAAAATCGGGACCTGTTAGAAAGTCGTAAAGTGTGGCTGCTAAGGGGTTTTTCGGGGTGCTGATCACGAATATCGTGTTAGTTTTGATCACAGATGATGTATTGAAGCATTTAGACCAGGTCGGGTCAGGTCAGGTCAGGTCAACCAGTAGGCGTCGTGACGGGTATTCGTAGTACGTGTCAACCGCCTCTGACAGCTTCGTAACATGTTACGAAGTCACCAAAACTACTTCGTAAATGTTCAAATGGTTGCTAAATTCGAATTCAGCTCCAAAAACTAGCCTAGAAATATGTACAACTCGAAAAAGTGACCCGAGGTCACCCGAGGTCACCAAAGGTCAATGACCTGACCTGACCTTCAGGTGACCTTGACACACACGGCAGTAACATCAAATCACATTTTGGAACGTTTGAAACCACGAAAAGCTTGCAAACACGCGGCTAGTGCGAGCCGACATACGCGAAATCGCGATTCCGGCCAAACATGGTCTCGGAAAAAAGGTCACTGGTCAAAGGTCATTTGGGTCAGGGTCATGAAATTTTCCGGGTAGGTGTAAAATTGATCAATGCGAAGGTACTGAAAGTTTCGTCGCGATCGGCCGCTTTTTACGCGAGTTATTCGCGAAAAACCATGGGGGGGTCCATCCGACCCCCCCCCCCCTACACATGCGAGGGTTAAAAGACCTGTTAATACCTATTAAGGTAGTGGATTGTTAACAGGATCTTAGAATGGTCGAGAGATGTTACCTTCAGAAGGGCTTCCTTTCGTGGTCACACATTATTGATGTTAACAAATGAACACTGGGTGGTGCACACCCTGAAAGTGACAGCTTCACACAAGCTGTTGTCTATGTTGAAAATTAGGCTTCCTTCCTGTTCAGATTAAGACAGTTGATGGCACCTTTGGTTAGCTTTGTTCAAGGAAGCATTCATTTTGCCAGTGTCGGTAGGGCAGCCTGGCTACATATAGGAATCTTGAGCCAGGCACAGCATACATGTAGTAGTGCATGTGTCCTGAAAAAGGATCAGAGATATATGGCTCAGGAAGTTATAAATGGAATTGACTCAGGCTGCTCTGAGGATGATTGACCACAAAGACATGGCTATTGTGAAAGCCCTGAAATAACTCATGAACTGGTGTGTTTTGAGTGAAGTGGAATATCAAGAACAGCATTAAAAAAGAAAAAGTAAAAATTGACCCAAAAATATCTTCCATGTTTAGTTTCAATCACCAAAATCTTACGCGTTTTCATACAAACTAAAATTACCAAGAAATTGCACAATTATCACTAACATGTGGCAACAAATGCTTCTTTCTACTAACTATCCACTTTCATGGATGCAGGATGCATGTGTTTTGATTTCATTATCACAGCAACACAGTTGTACGAGATGCTTACACAAAGTATTATGTTATATTTATGTTGATGTTATTCAGCTAGAGCCTGGGACAGTGATATTGTATTGTTAAGTTTGTTCAAAACCAATGTCCCAAAATTTGCTAGTTTTGGGTGGGAAATGACGTCCAACTGAAATCAATTTTCCACTTCCATCTCCAATTTTCAAGAACAATTTTTCACTCTGAAATAAAATTTTGGGACACTGTTCACTGTTCATAAGTCATAACACCAGCTTCATTTCTTAGTAATGATAGCTTTCAGAAGACTTCAGTCTTCCTTCATCAGCCTGTCAGGGCTCTAAAAATACATACAAACGAGTAGTGACCAACATAGAAAAGACAATACACAAATGTCGCACGAAAGCTGCCATCGCAAATAGATAAAGCCGGTGTACGCAATCTTTGCAATACGATTATACCAAATATGCTCAGTGCTCACAGCTAAGTCGAAAGGTGTCGCCATGCATCACAATTGATAAAATTCCTTGAAACTTCTTTTTTAACACATTACGCAACAGTGAAAGAATGAGAAAGCATGAGGCTGGCCCACAGTCAAGTACAGCAGTTTGCAAATTTGCACACAGTTACTCAGAAAGGCCTTTGTTCACACAATTCCATGCATAATGAAGAGCCAATTTTTTAATGCACACGATAGTTATTAAATACTTAGCCAGCACAATTTGTAAGTCTTTAAATGAAGGGAGAAAATCATGGAACCGCGTGAAAACCACAAGCCGCCTTTTTTTTTTAGTGGCCTTATATATCCTCGGCCTGGCGAGGAGGAGGCTATCCGGCTCGTGAAGCGAGACCGGTGGCCACTTTTTAAGGCAGAATAGGGAAACCCACGCAAATGTAATTTTTCAAATAAGTGGAATTATTAGTAATAGCCGCCTTGTGTATAAATATGAAGCGCAATGTATTGAAACACGAGCGCCAGCTGCGCCGCGCTTCAGCGCAGCCATATCCTAGGATAATTTTCGGTATATAGTAAAAAGCTCCCAGTTCTAGTTGTTTTTCTAGATGATATAGTATAATTCTAGTATATACTAGGAAAAACTTTGGAGTACCCGACTCTTTAGTGCCCTGGCCGTACCGTGGTGCCAGTAGACATTGCTGGTGTCACATGCACCGTTCCATTTTTCGTATCAGAGTCTAGGGGAGAGTGGGGCAAAGCGGCCACCCGGGGCAAAGTGGCCACCCATCGTTTTAGCCCTTCATAGCTGGCGTCAGTTCCAATTTATGGTTTCCAATTATACTTCTCTTCACGGTCGTTCGAATGAGCCAGACCGAGGTTTCAGGCCCATCACCATTGTTCTGTGAAACACGGAAAAGCATTTTTTGCCAGGTTACCAACTATGTTTAAATGTTATGTTATGTTACAATTTTTAAATGTTATGTTATTCCATAACCGTTTTGGAATTTTTGTAAGCGTTCTTGTCCATGCATTGCATGGTTATCGTACATGTATTCTACCAATTTTAATGTTTTTTACCCCACTAATAGCTAAGCTGGAATATTTTTATCTCGGACGCTATGCGGGGGCAAAGTGGCCGGGGCAAAGTGGCCACCCCCCCAATTGGCCATAAGTTGCTTCCATCTGGATAAAAACATTATTTATATTCAAATGTGTCGTCATGCATTCATCTTGGCCACTTTTCAGTTGCATGAGTTACCAAATAGTGCAATTAAATGTTTATTTTCATGAAAATCCTTTCTTTGTTTACCTACAGGTGGAAGATGATAAAGTAAACATCCATCCTCGATTAACCTTGTCACCATCAAATACACTAGTCGTACACGAGGCAACTATTTTGTTTCTCATATCGGGACTTGAGAAGACGCCGGTGGCCGCTTTGCCCCAGGGTATGGGGCAAAGTGGCCAATATGCATAGGTTTAAAGTTTTGTCAATATCTTTCATATGTGAACGCCTTTGGAAATAAAACGCAGTTGAAATAAAAGGCAACTTACTAGGGATCATATTGGTATAGAAAGAATCTTTCCAAGTTTAAAAATCAAGCGTTGGCATCGTGAGAAGCGTTAGGGTGGCCGCTTTGCCCCACTCTCCCCTACTGATGTGCCCGGTTTGTTTGGCATTGATTTTTTACAGCACTGCCCTTGTGTCATTGACTTGTGTTCTAAACGACTGTTCGTTACTCCGACAGAAGTCGTTCGCTCTGTTTCCGCTCATGCTGTGTCCATTGGTGACGTGTGCCTCTATGCTGAGCGTGTGGTCGCCCCAGGCACTGAGGTAATGTTGAACGGGTTTGTGCCTACTACTGACTACCACGGCCCCGCCCTGCCCTCGTTGAGCCCGTTGGTGAATTTCATGGATTGGAGGTGATAAGTGCTCTAGTGACGGTAGCTGGGTCCAGGGCACCGGTTGTAGTCCGCAATGTGACCACAGAACCAGTAACCATTCCAAAAAAAACAGGCTCTGGCCCGCTTGGAAGTTGGCTTCGTTGAGCAGCCGCATAAAGATGAAGACAAGTCTGACCCAGTCGTCGGACTGCAGGCTGCCCAGTGCGGCTCCGACCTGATTGATGCACAGAAAGGTAACCTCGAACAGCTACTGAAGCAGCACGCTGAGATGTTTGATGGGCATATTGGATTCACTGATCTGGTCACCCATGATATTGACACTGGTGATCACCCTCCCATCCGTCAGCCCCCACGACGTGTTTCGCCGCATTTGTCTGATGAGTTGAGCTCACAGATTCCTGATCTTGTCGAGCGAGGTATACTTGAGGAGTCTGATGGTGAGTGGTCGTCCCCAATATGTCTTGTTAATTTCTTTCTTCTTCGTAAGCTGGGCAATTCAATATAAAGTGGGTGGGGTCTTAATTTTCTGCATTGCGCATCATACATCTTGTGTTTTCTTTCTTGTGTCTCTTGCGCTCATTTAAAGGGACTATCCCACCTTCTAAAATGTTGTTAAAACCAGTTAAATTGTGCCCGACTTTATAGATTGGATGACCAGGAACACGGTTCTGGCATTTATTTTTCATTAAACATCTTAGGCTTCCCATATTCCAAACACAAACTTTCAAATATGTGACGTCATAGCCCAAAATTACCTCCTTCCCCAGGCCACATTACTGTCATAAAGCTGATTCTTTTTTCTCTGTAGGCACCACAACAAAGTTCAGACCAAGTTTTAAGCGATTTTTCAACGAACAAACCCATTTAAATCAGAATGACTAAACGAGGTGACGTCACACTAACGGTCGCTCCATGTTGAAGATAGGGCCTTGTACAAGGCCCATTTTCAAATGAAGGGAACGAATTTCTTCAACACCAAGAGGCCGCGGGGGTTGCAACCTAAATAGATAGTGGTTTCTGAACCTCGCCGCAAACTTGGCTATCTCAACTCAAACCCCATGTTAAAGGTGGGATAGTCCCTTTAAAGGAAGACAGTTAGCTCTTGCCTGGAAAAATATTGTTGAGGCTTGCTGGTTGTCAATAAACGTTACTTCCTCCATCTCCTTTTTCCAGACAATATACAGAGTAGTTTTTGTTAGCAATTCCTCCTTCCATTTCTTTTCATCCCATTTTTTTCATGTGTGTTTTTAGGTCTTCTTTGCTTATCCAGTATAAATCCTTTACTTTGAGTCCGACTTCCTTAATAATGGAATATGTTACCTTCATCCATATGTTCTTGCCCTCGTCCATCATTTCTGTTAACACCTCTTTCTGTAGTTGATTTGTTCCTTGCAATATGCTTCTCATGTACTGAAGTCTTCCAGTTTTGATCCTTGTTGTCATCAGAGATGCTCCAATTTCTCCTCTCAATGTAGCACTTGGTGCATACTTTGGATCTGTCTGTAGACACCATTTCCGATTACTTGCAGCTTCTTGGTCTCTTCCTCTGTGACTGTCATGACACTGAAGCCGTACAGTATGTATGGCAGCGCTAAGCACTTCCAGTAGGTCTTACCAATCAGCAGTTTGTTACATGATTTTGCAATTGCTGAATAGTCATGTTTGTCATTTGTTGTGCTTTTTCGATCATGGTTCTTTTCTGCCTTCTGAACACATCCCTTGTATTTGTTACTTTCAGACATAAGCATTTTATGTTTTCTTTTACTTCGATATATTCTATGCTTCTGTGCTGTTCTTTCAGGTTAACTCGCGCCCCGTTGGGGTCTGCCGAGCAACGCGCCCTGTTGGGTGGGGAGGGGGGCAATTGCCCCCCCCCCATAATATCTCGAGAACCACGCAACATAGCAACCAGCAGCAAACATTGTTGGATAGCCCCAACATGGAACTACCTTGTGACCCAATTCCATTGAACTAGGTCAAACCGATGACGTCACAGGCCAGGTCAAATGTCGAATTTTCACCGTTTACAGGCATTTCAAGAAATGCGTTGTAAAATCAAAATGCATTTCATTGAAAATCATCGATGGGGTAATGCTCGTCAAACACATATTTTGCTATTTGAGGTCACTGATACCAGGTCAGGTCACAGAGGTCAGGTCACCGGGGGTCACAATATGAAAATATCATGTGATGCATGTTTTATGGTCCATTTATATGCCAAATGCGATTATGTAGTTCAGGCAGCCTTTGGGGTCAGTTAAGATTATGTTCTGGTGAAGGTCAGGACAAGGTCAGGTCAAATTAGGTTTAATTTCAAAGTTGATATTTTTGCATGAAATATGGGTATTGATTCGATGCAGCTTGTCACGGGGTGTTCAATGGTGGTCATTGTTTTGCGCTACGTGGTCTAGAATTGCCAAAAATTGAGTTCAAAAAATTTTCGTCATCAATTTTGATCAGTTTTTTTTCTTTGCTATACCTTGACCAAAAAAGGAAGTATCAAGCTAAAATTTGGTTTGTTTAAAGAAGATCACAGGGCTTTTCACATATATTCCGGTTTTTACGAAATTCGGAAAGTTTTGTTTTTTGTATTTTTGGGGTCAAAATCCCAAAATTTTGAAAATCCGAGATGGCAGTTTTGTAGCGCCGTCTTTTGTCTGCAGGATTAACAAATCCACCGCCGCCTTAGCACAGTGACCTTGACTTCCGCCGTCTGCTGTGGCTCCAAAGCTAAGCCAGCGTGAAATTAGGAGAGCTCAGTCACCTGCAGCTGGCAGCTCAGTATGTTTTATAATCATTTTACTAGCATTATACAGATTTGAAAATGTCATAAATGTGCTAACGCTTTAGGTCTACGTAAGTGGTAAACCCTTAGATTAATTAAATTAATGTAATGTTCAGTAGAAAAACAGCAAAGTAATTGATCACTCATTCGAAAGCTGGGAAACCTACTATAAAGAAATACTAAAATTCCTGAAGAACCAAAGGACCAAACAGGCATCAAATACAGAGATGCCCGCTAT